AAATGTATACAAATTATTACTAAAAATAGATAAATTATGTACAAAAAAAAAAATTTACATAAGAAAATGTTATGATTTTCTTATTTTAATAATAATTAATCAACTTGTACACATAAATTTTAACTTAGATTTTATACACTGCTAAAGCCTTTTATATCATATTTTTTCATTTATCTATAATACTAGTTATGTGTAAAGGTAAACATTATTAAGAAATTACTTTAAATTCAAATTCTTACCAATATTTAATAATTGTACTTTTTTGAACATTTCTTTTTATATTTAAAAATAGAATAGATTATTAAAATTATTTTATATATATTATATTTTTAATAATTAAATATAATAATAATTTTAATGATATTATATTAACTTTTATTATATGATTTATATGATTGGTCAATTATGTCTAGTAAAAAAAAGTCATAGAAATTGATTAGGAATTGTAATTGTCTGAAGCATAGTGGAAGACATTTACTTCTAGGTCATTTAATTCAAAGTTATTCTGTTCGTTCAAATCTGACAGACCTGATAGACTAATGATATTTTGTTTATGTTATCACGTATTATGTCTTTTGTTCCTAGTATAAAATAACTTATACTTTATAAATAAAAAATTATAATTAATAATATTTTATTTAACTTTATAGAAATTTATATAATTTTTATATTAAATAAATATTTACAATTTTAAAAATGAGGTTAAAATGGTTAAAATATTAAAATATTTTGTTTAAAGATTTAAAGTTTTAAATTTTATAATTTAATAATAAAACCAGTTAAGCTAAAATTAAACAAATATATATATATTTATATATAATTTTATTTAAAATAATATTTACAAAATAAATTTTATAATATTATTATAAAATAAAAAATTTTATTCAAAAAAATTTTTTTTTGTTTTTTTTGAATTTTTTATTATAAAATAATTATAAAAGAAAACTTATTTTAAATGTTTTAAATAATGTTAATTATTAAGTAAATAAATAATAACATTATACTAGATGATTGAAAATTTATAAAGATAATTAAATGCAAACCTTTTTTTTTGGAGAAAGAAAAAAATATATATTTTTTTTTTTTGTTTACATGTAAATTAAAGATATGAAAAAATTATTGTGTAAAATGAAAATTCTTGTATTTTAAAATAAACGTGTGTGTTTATTTCAGGGTAATATATATTCAATAACTTTTTCAATAGCTTTTTCAATAACTTCTTTTATATACTTTTCATCTTTTTTTTTTTTTATAAAAAATAAAAAATAAAAATCAAATAAAATCAATTCATTAATAAAGTTTATAAATAATAAAAATATTCATAAATAAACTTTAATACATACTTTCAGTAGCAACAGGACCGATAGAAGTATTTTCTAAAAGGCTTACATCCCTCGCCTCAGGATGAGACTTTAAAAATTCGTTACGAGCCTTTGTAGCAGCCTCTCTGATAACCTTTTCTTCGTCTTCGGTTTTATATAAATCACATTTATTACACTTCTTACATTTTTGACCAGGTATAGGACGAAAATGATCACAAACTGTAATATCAAAAGGAATTAAATCAATATCACATTAAATATATATATATATATATAATTTAAATTAATATTAACTTACAATGAGCGTAAGATTCTTGTCGTAAATCTTTTCTACATAAATAACACATAACATAACCACATCTACATGTCATTTTATTACATCCATCAGCTTTTGTAAATGATACATGACATTTAGGGCACTATATTCCGAGGGGAAAAATTTTTTTTTAATATCGCGTACGGGAAAGAGATTTTCTGTTAAAACAATTACTTACAGTTCGTTTAACAGCTTCTGCCATAGCTTTTTCTACGAAAAGGCGTAAACTATCTTGCTCTTGTTCGTAACATTTGTGAAAAGGCCTACTTTCTTTGTTACACAACAAACAAGATACTTTACCGCAAACGGGACTCTGACATTTAAATATATTTCCCCGACGTCTCCTCTTCACCTAAGTTATTTGCAAAAGAGTATAAAATGCGTCAATTCATGAATTTTTTTTTTTTTGAAAATCAAAAGGAAACATTTATTCATACCCGTTTAACGATGTTATCGAATTCATCAATCCAAATTTTAAGTGGATAAACACCCATCATACCCAAAACAATTTGAGGAAGAATGAATATAGCTACAACATTTAAAGCGGATAAAATGATTTCAACACTGGTGAATAAGGGCAAAACGGCTATAGGTAAACTAGCCAGTAAGATAAAAGATTTCGGGATCTTTAATTGTTTAAAGGTAATTAAGTCATCATCATCTGCCTCGCAATAATTACAAAAAGGACATTGTACTAAAGATAAATTTGATTGTTTTAATGAATGTTCTATCAGAGAATCCAGATAATTTTTAAATACATCAGGACTAAGGGTTGCATTTAGTTGATCATCAGTAAAGTAACCATCACAGCCTGAAGGTTCAATACATTTGATTTGTTTACCACGTAGAGAGCCTTGACCAAATAAACCTTCTTGCACTAAATGATTTATACAATCTTTACAGAATAGATGACCTTCATTACAACAAGTTAAATCTTCAAAAGGATAATCACCATAACAACAACCACAAGTTATTAGCTGATCATTTTTTGTATATTCGGTGAAATTAACTTGTTTTGCTATTTCATAATCAGCCTTTGATTGTTCCTCTAATTTAATCACATATAATTTTTGTATTTCTTGCGTTAATTCAATATTTTCGACTTGCTTGTATAATTTTCTACGGAATACACTAAATAATGAATTCCACCAATTATTTGTTGTTAAATCTTTTAACTTATCTAAACTTTTTTTATAATCAAAATTATTTTCCGCCAAAACAGCTTTTATAGTCGAGCGCCAAGTATCAGGAAAATCATTATATAGTTTGTATCTAACAGCCTTCCTATAACTTGGAGACCTTATTAACTCCCAAGGTTCAATAGTAAATGGATTCATTCTACGAGGATATCCACCTTTATCAGCTGATTTATCCATGTTTAATAATTGTTCGATAATTTGTTGCAAATGACTATGATTTACGTTACATAGCTTGTCTCTTAAAAATCCCACATCGCACTCTGGGAACAATTCATTAATTTGTAATAAAAAGGCGTTTTTAGCTTTTGTGCAATTTGCAGCCCTACAACCTTCAGGTATCTTTGGATAATGTCCCTTATTTTGATTAAATATCTTTTCACTAATTCTCTCCACATGATTATCTTGATAAAACTCAATACAGTATTTTAAATATTCTTGATCTATTTAAAAAAATGGAAAGAAAAATAAAAGGTGTTGAATGACTAGTAAAAAAACGCTTTTTTTAGGAAAAAAAAAGGAAAGAAAAAGCATCACTTATTTAATAGTCAAACCTGCATCGGGAAATAAAGCGACCAACTGCTCGAGAATAGCGTCTTTTTGCACATTAGACGAACTATTCGAAATTTCACTAACACTCTTTAACGAACTAAACAAACTATTTTTAAACATATTAAGGCAAAAAATTATCTTCCAAGAAAGATTACGTGAAAATTTATATCATATGTTATTTATAATAAATACAGGTACATCAACAAATTTTTTTTTTTAAAAAAAAAAAGGTTGGGAAAGAGAAATGAAACTTTTTAAAAATTGAAAAAATGACGGAATTGTTTGTTAAATATGGTAATATTGGCACAGTGAATAATGCTATAATAAGCTGCTTGCATATATATTAATTCCTATACATAAAGGTAAGTGTGGGTCATATGCTCAACTTAAACTTAAAGCAGAAATGCGGGGTTGACTTGTGTAAATCATACAGTATCGTATATAACATAATGAATATGAAAATGCCAAAATTAAAATTTCATGGTAAGATGCATATGATTATGTTAACAGTTAATATATATTTTTTTATCTGCGATATGAAAATCTGGGTTTTTAATATATCTTCAAAAGGGAAATAAAGGAATAAAAAGGTAAATGATTTGGAGATTCAGCCCTCCAATCGTTTATTTTTATAGAATTTCATCTCAATAGAAGCGTGCCTTTTTTTATCCTTTCTTAGATTTCTTTTACGTTTTTGGTAATATGATTGTTTGTGATAAACATGGTTTAATGCAGTCAATGATAGGCTCACGTGATTTCAAATGTACTGAGCATCATACAATGCATACATGCCCTCGCTCTACTGTAAATAAATTATGCGGAATATGTTATTGTATAACAAATAATAATGAAAAAAAACATTCCGGAATATGATCTCCGATGTTTAAAAAGGAATTTGGGCCCGAAGAAGGTTAAAAAAGCAATTTTTTAGAATCTTTTTATAGAAGCCCAATATGGGAGGGAGCTACTTTTTAAAGTGTTCACAATTCAAATCAAGATTTTTCTTCCAAAAGCAAATTTTTTTCCCTTCTCTCTTTTTTTTTTTAATTAATTAATTTATTTATTTAAGGAGACCTTCCTCTATAATGTACATAATGGTTTGTGATACAACAGATGACAGAATTTGTTCAACCATTTCACTGCAAAAAATTAGTCTTATTTGTAAGACAAATGATAGTACAAATGAAATTGATTAAAATTTTGATTCAATTTAACACTGATCTACATACTCCGTAAGTTTGTCACCTAATTTGTTTTGTCACTTATTATAACAATAGGTAATTTCCATTATTTATTAAACCTAGTTATTTCTTCTCATTTCCTTTTTTTTTCTATTTTGTCCATCTTATTCCCGTAGTTCTCTTTTTTTTTTTTAAAAAAAAAAAAGTTTTAGAAAGATTATTTTTTTCGTTGCAAGAATTTTTTAACTTTATGTAAATAGCACATGCTATAAAAAGACTATAATTTTCAAGAATAAATGATACTGCAAAGACGTGTAATAAAGAAAACCACGGCCTAATAAAAATAACCTGCGGTTTTGTATGTTCATGAAATCATCGGAACCCATTTAAAAACAGGTTACCCCCAACATTTATTAGTTAGGTTCATCAGATAATGTCTAATAATCAACAGGAGGAGTCACGAAATGACGATGATGGGGAAGGGGAAATGGGAATGGCATATACCACTGACGAAGTTGATTATCTCAACCATTTTAGTAATAATAATCCCACAATTAACAACGAGAATAGAAATTTTGCAACTAAAAATCCGGTAGAGTATTTGGAGTTTCTTGCAACACAAGAACCTTATTCACCTAAAAATTTATCTTTAAATCAAGATTCATTTCATCAACCCTTACAATTCCAACAAAAAGAACAAATTATCGGTATAAGGGGTGGACCAACATTATCGAACGCACATTATGTAATGTCTCCTTATGACCCGCGACAAATTTTACCTGATAACAACATCAATAATAATAATAACAATAACAATAACAATAACAATAACAATAACAGTAACATTAATAGTAATTATAATCCTTATTTCCCTCCCACGCATCAAATTGATAAATACAATAATCCCTTATCATTATCCCCATTAGTTCATCATAGTGCTGCCCCTTATCCAGATCAATCGGAATCTTATCAAATTGAGGTGGTTGATGATAATGATAATGATACTCGTCCTCCATTACATGAAAATCAGCAAATTTATCAAAATCATTTTCAAAATCAGATCCCACAAATTCCAATTCAATCTAATAATGATGATAATAGTAATAGTAATAATAATAACGAGAATGATGGTGAAACCTCTTCACCGATTGATCATTCTGCCGTTACTCCATCTCCTCTTGCCTTACCTAGTCTATTGCTTTCAAGGAATCGTTCAAGGATTTCAACTCCAAAGGTAGAGGTCTCCCTAAATTTACCAAGTGCGTATACCGCTCAAGTGCAACAAAGTGATTCTCCATTACGCTCGGAATTTAGACAGAGTGAATTAGGTCTTTATAATAATAATATCAATGTTCATAAAATTAGATTAAGTGAGATATTAAATGAAAAAAGGTTGTCTGATCAAAAATTAGTCTCAATCATGAAAAACACTTCATCGCAAAATTCTAAAAATGAATCCGTAGTGAAATTCGATTTTCATAACGCGACTGGTGATCCTGACGACCCTCTCTTAAATAATGAAAATATTTCGGGATTGCAAGAACAACAACAACGACGATTACCAACTGGATTATTAAATGGAAATTCAAATGACAACAATAATATAATTTATAATTCAAATAATATATCTAATACTTCACAACAACAACAATATTCAAATGTTCCGCAACCCATTCCTCCCATTTCTTCTACTTATCCGATTCCTCCCACATCTCAAATTACTCCTATAAATCAATTACCTTTAATTGCTAATAAGAGTGATGATGATCAAAATCATGATGCAATCGCATCGACTGCCAATATAGAAGATATAGAGATTAAAATTTATAAACCTAAACAAGGAACTATTTATATGCTCATCAACATTTTTACGATTGCTGCCATTGTATTTATTAGTAAGTATTTTATACATGTTAATTTAGAAATATTTTTTATTTCTTTTATTGACTTTCTTTTATATTTGTAGCATGGAGGTTGGGAGATTGGGGAGTTGGACAAGCTAAAGAAATTTACGGAACATTAAAGGTTTTGGTAATATAACAAAATTGATATAACCTCCACTATTATCTAGAAAAGAAAATCAAATGTTTTATTAAGGCCGAGTGTGAATTACCGCCTTTCTTTTGCGCGTATTTCTTCCCCACTCCATTTATTATTAAAAATAATTTAATAATAATGTACATAGTGTATTAAAAATATATTCAAATTAAATATTATTAGGTAACCTTTTTTTATACCTTTTGTATTATATCTTAAAAAAAAAAAAAAATTTAATTATAATTCACGCGTAAAATTGATTTTTTTGAAATAAAAACAAGCCGTGAATTTTCGTTTACGCAAATTAACTTTTAAATAAACTATTCAATAGAAAATTTATCGTAATTGATCGATCCTGTCGTCAGTTTTTTGAAATATAGTGTTTATTTTTTTCCGCGCCCAATTCGTTGATAATGCATCTTATCTGAAGTTTTTTTTAATAGCAGTAATAGAATCAATGGCACGTCATTGCGGGATTCAGCAATATCAACGAAAAAATTACGAAAATGTCTTTTTTCGAAGGAATTTAATGCAAATGGTAAGAATCCAGCTTAATAACTTATATCGTAATATATCATATCCTTTTTTTTTTCGTTGATTGAATTTATTGTCTAACATAATCAATTTAATTCTCTATGAACTTCGGTATTTTTCTCATGGACTTCGTCACCGATCAACCTCTGAAGGTAAGGAGAGATATATATATCTCACGAATATTGTTGAAAGGTTAAATTTCGACTGTTTGTTCGATTCTTACAGAAATGGATTTGCTGATAAAAATTCTTTAGGAGTGTGTTTATTACCAATCTATATATATGCGTGAAGCTTCATATTCGATATATGGAAATTTTAAAAGAGAAATGAGTGCATAACGTTTGATCAAAGTTAATGATAACCGTTAAGTTGTCCATCCACTGAACAATGATTGGCCAATAACTATTACATATTCCCCGTTTACTAATCATTCGCCCACATCGATATTCTACTACTGGAGTTGAATTTTCCGGGAAAATATCTAATTTCATCATTACCAGAATATATCATTTTGAAAATCGTACTGAGAATATTTATTTAACATTACATAGTTTTAAATAACAATAAAAGACTTTGTTAATTATTGTAAGTCTAATTAAAATAAAAACATTTTGAAAATGACATTCGTTAAATCATTGATAATACTTTTTATTTACCTTAAGTATTAGAAGAAATGTAGTGATAGCGGAAGAATTAGATAGCAAAAACAAAAACATATTTATATTTATTTAGAAATAATTATATCATAGTTATAAGACTAATGCATAGTGATTAAGTATTAATTACTCAATCATTATAAAATATTACAACAGAATTATATAAAGAAAAATGGAAAACTATACATAATTCTTATATAATAGATTAGCAATTAAGTATAGAAATTTTATTATAAATAGGCAGAATTTTCAATCATATATCAACAGTCTTTATTTCTTTACTTGCTGCATATCTTTAATTATGAATATAAGTTATAAAAGACTTATTTTTTATATCTGGATTAAGGTTGCTAAACAAAATCCAGAGTTTAGATAGACGTCTAAATGGTAAAGGTAAAACTTGGTTAAATTATATTAAAACCTTATTAAAAAATCTGCGAAATTCAGAAAAAGGTAAAACTATATCAAAGCTTATAAAAATAGCGAAACTATATCAAACACTTAGTAAATATTTAGCGAAACTAAAGGTTTAGACATTTAGCCAAATCTAAAATGAGTTTAGACAAGCAACCTTAATCTGGATTTATTTTTGAATATAGATGCCTCCTAAAACTCTCTCAAAATATTTTGTTATATCCCTTACTATATTATATAATTCAGCTAAATTTAGATTTCAGGGTTTCATCATACCTCTCACTATATTTTATATAATTTTAGCTGTTTATTAATTGCTTTTTTTTGTTTTGTCTCTCATCTATACAGTGATTTCCATATTTATTGTATCACTTCGTTTTTAATTTTTAGATCATGATACCTGAATAATTAAATTGACTATAAAACTAAAATTTTAAACCAATTTAAAGCCTGTAATCAGATTTTTAATATATTTAAATTTGAGTATTACTTAATTTGTGGCTTTTTAAAAAAATTTCTTTATGTGCAATTTTTTCGTGATACAATACTTTTGGAATCAAAATTAATTTAATAAAGTTATGATTGTGCGACATGTCTTATACATATAAGTAAATTTAAATTAGTAGATCAATTTGTACGCCTTTTTTTTGTTTTTTTTTAAATATATTATGAAGGCGATTTCATTTCACCAAAGGGAACGTATTTTTGCCCTTATTCAAGAAGGTTTACCAAGTCGTAAAATTGCTTCTCACAAAAATATAAGTCATACTTCTGTAATAAGAATTAAACAAAGAAAAGAAGAAACAGGCAGCTTTGATGTTATTCCAAAACTAGGCTGCCCAAGAATACTTACAGAACGTCATGATAGGAATATTGCTAGGCTTATTAAGTCGAGTGAATGTACAAATGCTATTCAAATTCAAAATCTTTAATTTCTAATGAAAATATTGTTATTTCACCAAATAATATTCGACGCTCATTGAAAAGGCAAGGTCTTGTAACTAGAGTTAAAAAAAACCATTGCTGCTAAAGAGGCACAGAAAAGCACGAAAAAAATTTGCTCAAAAATATAAGAATTAGACCATAGAAGATTGGCGAAAAATAGTGTAGTCAAATGAGAGTAAATTCTTAATTTTTGGCTCAGATGGAAGAGAATAGTGTTGGAAAGATCCAAATTTACCTTTGTATCCACAGCATATTAAACTAACTGTAAAGTTTGGTGGAGGTTCTGTAATAATATGGGTTATATGGGTTATTTGGCATTGGAAAGTATTGTAAAATTGATGGAAAAATAGATAGAGAGTTATATAGAGAAATTTTAGGAGATGAGTTTTTAGGGACCCTTAGCGTGTGTAATTTGAATGTAAATGATATCATTTTCTAACAGGATAATGACCCAAAACATAAAGCAAAGAAAATAATAAAGTGGTTTGATGACAAAAATGTTGAGGTTTTAGATTGGCCAGCACAATGTCATAACGAGTTAAAGATATACTTAAGGCTAATAGTGAATATATGAGATGGTAATAGTTTTTTGTTAAAAAAAATTAGAGTATAGTTTATTAAAAAAAAATTTGAAAAATTTATGTTTTTAATTTATTTGTTATATGCGTCAGAAGTATTATACCCTAAAATTTATGGTTATAAAAGAATTTTTTTTTAAAATTATAAATAAAAAGAAATTTGAATTTGAATATATTATAAAAGAAGACTTAGACGATACATTAATTAAATCTGCAAATCGTTTGATCATCAAATTTTTATTTATTACAATCTAAAAATTACAAACAAAGTGGTACAATAATTATGAAAGTCACTGTATATCTAAAAAAACCTTAATTTTTAATATTAACTTATAAAGATACAATTAAAAATCATCACTTTTTAGTTTTTGTATTCATATATTTCATATTGTAGCATTTGTAAATCAATTCAAATATAAGTTTATAATATAATAATTTAAAATTTATAAATAAAAATAGAATTATAAACTAGCAAATCATTTTTTTATTATTGTATTGATATAACAAATAAAATTAAAAGTAAAAACTAATTAGTTTTTAAGGTAAAAATATAAGTAAATATAAAATATTTTATTTTAAAATAATATTTGATTTACTAATTAAATTCTTTTACTAAAATATGATTAATTGTATTAAAAAAAAAATTTATTAGATATTAATATAATAAGAATGAAAGATATATATTTATAAGATATATGATAAAATAAGATAGCTTATCTTATATTCTTACTATTAAATCAAGAGATTAACACTTTTTTTGTATAATGGGATTATTTAGTTGAAATTCTTTCTTCAATATCTTTTAAAGTATAATATTTTGTTTAAGTTTATTATACAAATTATTTAATAAATTTTCAGCTTATAACTGTAATTTTATATGATTAGATTTATCTGCAAATAGAATGATTTTATTTGAAGATTTAATATAATATACTATTAAAATTTAACTCAATAAAAAATTTTTTTTAAAGTTTTATATCTTTCTATTGTAAAGCTTTTATATAATCTAAACAATTATTTAATATTTTACTAATTTTTAAAGCAAACATTTTTTTAAATATATATATTATCACTAGCTAAAAATTTATCATTAAAAAATTGATCTATAAAGATTTAAGGATCTGATCTAACTGATTTTTATTATATTTCTAACATCTTTTGATTTTGTTAATCAGTCTAATAAGTTTGATACATTTAATTTTAATATATTTAATATCTCTTTAATATTTCTTATATTTATTATTTTCTTATATTTTATATTTTTATAGTTTTATTATAAAATTAATTAGTTTGTATCATTAAAAATAGTAGTGTAAATTATTATAAATAAAATAGTTTTTTATTGATGTAAAAATTAAGATTGTAATGGTTCTATAAAGTATCAATAGTCCTAATATTAATACAAATTAAAATATAATTTGTTAATTTTTGATTTTAATAAATTACTACATTTAGACTAGGTATTTAAGTATTGACTCTTTTTAGTTTATATAGTAATTTACTTATTTATTTCTGATTTTTAAATTTAAGACTTATGTTATTTAAAAATTTTATATAAATATTAAGATTTATAAAGATTGATAATATAATCATTAAGATTAAGATTCACAAAGGTTTATCCTTTCAATAGTTTTCCTTTCAAATTTAGAAGGAATTTTACTTACAATTTAAAGTTAATTTTAAATATATTAAAAATTAATTATTAAACTAATAATATTTTTATAATAAAGTTATGATGTTTTTTAAGTAAAATCAAAAAACAAAAATTGCATTAATTAGTAATTGTTTGCATTAATTTAAGATCAAAGTTTAGAAAATTTTTTAATAAAAGTATTTTCTTTATAAAAGCTAAAATTTTTAATTTTTAATTATTTTT